TATACGATATTATTTTACTTCGTCTTTTTCTATGCTAGCAGCAAATGTGAATTGCCACTTTTGTTTTATTTCATAGTGAATGGAATGATCGCCAGGGGATCACGTACACAACAAGATTGACTTATGCAAAGCGTAATTTCTGAAACACGTGGTAGCTGCCCTAGGGTCCCTATCGAATTGAACATACGGAGTACTGATTTGTGTTACGTCCGTTTTGAGTTTCCGTGGTTATTAACAGTTGAATCGGTGGATGATGGTTGCGGTATACAAACCACTAGAACAAACCTTAACCATTAAATTACCATGATTTGACTAATTAGTCGCGAATCGGAGAGTTTTGGTCAAATAAATTGTTGTAAGTACGTGTAGCTTAATTGTTAGTCAATTTATCGCATATTCGGAGTCTGTTCTTTGATCGCATGTACCACGCCGTAACCAGGTTACGACATATAACCTCGGAGGTTCTAGGACGCCCATTGGCCTATTCCACAAGCAATGTGTACTTTTTCCGGATAGCCTCATTAATTACGCAAATCGTTTGCTATTAAATAATTATCAAAACAACATTTTTGGGTGATTTTGACCCATTTGTCCCATGTAACAATACACGAGCATTGTAGGTATATTCGGAAAAGTACAAAGTCCCTTAATCGTTTGTGTGTTAAACCGCCACGCAACGCCACACTCATGCATCGATAGATGGCGCTGTTTGGGACTTTAATTACGGAAATACACGCTGTTATATATATATTTTTTTTTTTTTTTTTTTTAAACAAGGTTGTTATTCTGAATGTTTTTGTCGTTATTCATTGAATAACATTTCTGAAAAGTGATTTGAACTTAATATTTACCATTTATTTAATTCAATTGAAGTGGGACACATGATATGTAAACTAAAAGAAACACACATTATGTTAATATTTTATTTGCTAGTTTCTTTCTCTAATTCTGTAATAATAGAGAATGGAACAAGTGTTGCAATTATTTTATATGAATTCAATGCCAAATAAGACTTTGTCAACGTTGAAAGGCGACAATTACATATAATTATTTTCGATCAACGAAATTGATCGGTCAATAATGTTCAGGGCCAAGTATCTATCTACCTCAAACCATTGTAAACAAAAAGTTGTCACGCATACGGTCCATGTTTACTTTGATTTAACAAATAATTTACCATGCTGCGTATTATTCACTTTGAATTAAGGTCAATTTATGGTTACGGTAATACGTATATCCTAAATCTCTAATCGTGTGTTAATGTCATCACCATAAACTATATCCCCATTGTTCATCTGTAGTGTTTGGGGCGTGGTTTACAGCGCCCTCGCCGATGGACACCGACGCAAAGCCATATACTAGTATCAAAACATTATCTATGTTATCGGCACTCTCTGAAAGCGGGCGGGTCGTCACCTACGCATGTGCGGGAATAAAACAACGACACGCTTATGGCCGTTTGCCGCATGCGTAGATGAAGACTCCCCAGCTTTAAAATGAACAACAAAAAATAAAAGGGGTAAGGGTGTGGGGTATAATAATACGCTTCAGTTGAACTTGATGGCAGAATAAACAGTCAATGTGGATGCAAAACACGGTATGGTTTATTGCTGGATAAACTGGCATAGAAACATGTAACACATGAATAAGGAGTCCAGAAACTCCGAAACTAGCCCTTTATATAGGTGCGTATCGAACGTGAGAGAAAACACGTAAGCGGGAAATACAAAATGTAAGTACGCGGGAGAAAAAGATACAATACAGAGTAAAATGATTGGCTGAAATTAAATGATTCTAATTGGTCGAGAATTACTCAGAGGAATCCTTCATGCGAAAGGTAAACGAATTAACTATAGCGGAATGACATGTAATAAGAATAATAATATCAATATAAAAACGAATACAAATATATATTATGAATCTCCGACATTAAAGGGGCGATTAAATAGGTCTATATATGAGTTGGCCGAAAACCACACTCTGCTAAGGAACGACGACAAAAGATCAATCTCGGATAAAAAAAACATATTTGCATTAGTTTGGGGGGTGACCTCAAAAAGTTTCCATCCTACAAAAACGATTTTATTTTTTAATGAAGTCAACAAAATCTTGAGTATTTGTAGTTCACCAAGGAGGCCTATCCTCGGGGGCGGAGCTACGTCACGGACGTTGTACGTTGCTAAGACGCGCACCACTGTACCACGTATTTCTATGGGCTTTGTGCGCGCTGCTGTGGAACGCCGGTGGAGCCGGTGAAAATTCGAGAAAACAATACAAACTCAACTTTGAAGTAATCTCGAACAATCAAATTTATATATGTTACACACGTAGGGCTAATCTTGTTGCACTGTTCAGAGAAGTCTCAACAATCACCCCAAAGTACCGTTTTCTGCGAGTTTTGGGCCTTTGTTTTCACCGCCGCGGGTTGCCAGGCGGTGAAAATGCCCGGATGTCCGCCCCCGAGGATAACAGCTATCTCTTACATGTGGACTTTACCTTTGCAGTCCAAGACCTTCAGTCAGCATCCGGGTCAGCATACGCTTAGTGCTATGACCGAGCATACGTTGAAAATAACATTTAGTGCTAATATGAACGTCCAATGAACGCTACGACGCGACAGACAAGTGTCGTG